TTTTTTTTTTTTTTTTTTTTTTTTTTTTTTTGTTTTTAAAGTTATTTTTGGCGATCGAAATGCTGAGCAGAAAGACGATTATGCTTTTGAAATAAATTCTAATACTTCTTTAAATGTCAAAAAATATTTGAATAAGGATAATATATGACTGCTAACAGATCATTTGGAAAATGCTTTTAGTGCAGTTTTTCCCTGTCCTATTCATTTATCCGAAACAAAAACAAATCCATTTTAAGCTCTTTTCACGTTCAAGAAATTTTGCTTTTATAAGAAAATTGACAGCTTTCTTCATTTTGTTCCAAAATGATAAAAGTTCAAAAAGAAAAGGGAGAAAACTGAAAAAAATAAATTATTGTATGCTCAGTGATATTTATCAACGACTGATAGATGTTGTCAAATAATTGGCGTTTGCTTAACGTCTTTCTTCGCCAATTCTTAGAAACAAATATCTTTTATGTATATTGTCAGCCTAAATCGCTGTTGTTGGATGCTACCTTTTCAAAAAAAAATCCTACCGTTTATCTCCCTGATTGTTCCATTCCCTATACAACCTCTTAAATTAACATTACTGAACGAATATCTATGACAGCATTTATGCGAAGCAATAGAAACAGCAACAGTACAATGACAGCTCTTCAAAATTAACAAAAATTTTTTTTAACCGAGAAAATACCTCTACGAAAATACCGCCATCATCACCGTTTATTCTTGTTGCCGTGGTCATTGTGTGGTGACGATGGTGGTAGTGATGGTCAAATTGCAACTTCAATCAGTATACCACCAAAATAAGCAATAAAGCAGCAGAAAGCCAAAAGCAAATATCACACCCCGTGAAAATACTTAAACTATGGCAGCACAGTCTTCTATATGTAAACAATCAAACAGCTATATATATATATATATATATATATATATATATATATATACCTGTTTATACATGAAACATTACAGAATATCGCCATAAATGAAAAGAATTAATAATTCTTCAAAACTGGATAACAGTAAAAAAAAATAAAATTAAGTAAAAAGACGATGAGAAAACTTAAATTAAAGAGAAGCAGAAGGAGAATTGGAAAAGCAAGAAAAAAGTTATCGTAAAATATATAGCGCATAAGGACAATAATTGAGGCATTGAAAAAACCTTCCCGTTTTTTGAAGCCGATTTTTCTACACCGCCTTTTTGTTCTTTAGTTAAGAAAGTTTTTGTAAAATTGAAAAAAAAGGCGTAAAATGCTTACTTCCATATGAAAAAGATACTAAACAATTCCCCTAAAAACAAAGAAAAAATTTCATAGAAAATGCAGACTATGAACGAAAAAAACGAGCAGTTTATTTTCATATAAAGTGCCATTTCCAGAGGCTTTTTATTAGAAAGCCGATTTACAAACAAAATAACGAACAGAATGGGACAAAAACAAAACGAGGACAAAGCTGACAAGAAACTGGCAAAAGAAGGAACTGGACAGAAATAAGACCAAAATGAAGCTGCAGAAGCAGAAACGGAAGATGAAGAGTGAGGAGATAAAAAAGAAAAAAGAGAAGAAGACGCTTGATAGACAAATTATACTTAACAAATAAAAAAGAAAAGGAAATAAACTTGAGGAAAAAACAGAAACAGAAAATATAATGAAAAATATAAAGAATATAGAAAAAGTGATGCTGTTCTCTTTTTTATTCAAAGTAGCATTAAATCAGTTTCCCTAGAAAGCAAAATGCATTTATCTCGATTTATATCACTAAAAAGAAAACCAGTTAAAAAACCTTCAATGTTAAGATTAGATTTATGGAATGGAATGAGGTGGGATCTGATCCGACGCAGTGTGATGCAATATGCTTCGTTGGGATTAGGCTGTCCTACTTAAGATACGAATAAAAAAAAATTAAAAGCTTGTAACGAAGAAGTTAGTAGATTAGCATAGTTAATTAAAGCTATAAGAGCTTCAA